GGTAGGGTGCGCTGGAGCCTCCCTCCGGCCAGGGCGCCAGGGCTTTACCTCTGCCACACCCACCTCGCCCGGTGCTGCTGCCGCGGCCACAGAAAGGCGGGAGGGTCTCAGACAGGCACATCTCTGCACTCCCCATTGCTCGAGGCCCCCTTTGTCTGGGCGGGCGGGGAGCATCTCCCGGTCTTCCTGCCCCGGGCGGCGGCGGCGGTGGGTCAGACCAGCAGCACCCACTAGGCGGGGAGCTCCTCCTCGTTCCCCTCTCAGTGCTGCCTGCCCCAAGCCCTCCACCAGCAGCCCCCGCCGGGCAGGAGAGGAGTTCCCAGCCCTCCCCTCTCCGCAGGGACTGGTGGCCTCCTTGGAGATGAGGCCCGGTTGAAGAATCCTCCCAAAAGCTCTCTGTGGGCCAGGAAGAGGGCGGGGAGGCAGGCCCTCCCCTCCCAGAGGCTGGGGGGGGGGACCTGGATGCTGTTTTCTGGGAAGGTCAGGCTGAGGCTGGGGGACGCCTGGGAAGTGGGCCACTAAGAGACAAGGGGGGGGGGGCTGCTCCCCAGACCAGGCGGCTGTCTGGAAACCAAGGCAGAACACCACCTCCCTGTGAGCACAGCCCCCGCGCCGCGTGGGAGAAGAGGGCAGAGGAAGCGGAGGGCTGGACCTCTTCTGGAGGAAACCCCCCCACACACACTTGGGCTCGGAGATTAGCTTTGCCAAGAGCCAAGCCCGCGTTGGGGGGGGGCAGGGAGAGGGAGGCCGCATGGCGGGGATTCCTCCCTTTTGGGTAAGGCCCTGTTTGTGCACGGGAGGCCCCTCTTTGGCAGTTTGACCCCACAGATACCGTGGCGAGAGAGTGCAGAAGGAGACCCACCCCCCTCCGCCGGGGCATTCACTCTCCAGTGTTCTTGGGTCGAGGATGGCGGGGCTCCTGTGCTGGGGAGGGGAGGGGAGGAGCAGAGCTGGTGCCGCAGAGGGCAGCACACGTCCAGGCCGAGGGGGCAGCTGCCGTCTCCGCCCTGAGGGAAGGCAGTGGGGCCGACCCAGCCCGGTTGGATGGCCTCTGGAGCTCAGCCTCCTTCCCACGGCAGCTCTAGAAAGAGGAGCGAGCCTAAACCCGCTTGTACGGGAGCAGAGGGTGCCCCCTTCGCTTCATGGGGCCAGCTAAAGGAGCCTGGGCACACGGGGCTTTTCTCCGCACTTTGCTGCAAGGAGCTGGTGATGAAGCAGAGAGCCATGTGGACAAAGCAGGCCCTTTGCTAAGATGGGGCTTTGGGGGGCTCCGCCCCCTTTCTTAAAGGCTCAGCCCCATAAGAATTTCTCCTGTAAATGCTTTTTCAATCATTTAAAAACATTTTTAAAGGCCTGTGCTCCTTTAAGCAGCATGTGGTGCTGTAGTTGACGAATTCCCACACTGGGCAAGGGGGTTGGAGTAGGTGACCTCTAGGTTCCCTTCTAACTCTGTGTCAAGAAGCTGGTCTCCTTTAAGAGAGTTTTTGTGCCGAAGTGTTAGCTTTCTTGACTATAGAAGTCATCGCCCCCACCTGCCGGCTTGTTATCAGGATTGTTGCCAAGGCTGGCAGAAGTGATTGACTTGCAGCAGCTGAGAAGTGTCCTCTAAAGTGGCTGACAGCTTGCCCTTGAGAGATCTATCCTGCTAACAGCTTTCTATTGGCCGAATGGCTTTTCTTTCTGCACTGAGAACTTCAGCCCCACCAGGAAAGACATTTGCCCCACAAGCCGCAAAATCCTGGCTCGGGGCCTGGGACAAACCCGGCCTCCTGAAACTCGGCTGCCTCAACCGCCAACGTGAGACTGTCCTCTGCAGTTCGGGGGTGTCCCCCTTGCTCCCAAGTCGACGGAAGTCCTTCTGGAAAAGGCAGGCCTCTGGAGAGTCATGTCACCCCCTGCCAAAATGCGTGGGGCACCGTGGCTTGGTGGCGGCAGCCGTCTCTCTCACGCAGCAGTCCAAAGAACCAGCCTCCCCGCCCCGGGAGGGGGGGGCATGGAGGGCAGAGAAAGCTGTGAGGGGGGAAACAATTGCAGGAAGGGTTATCTCTCCTTAGGGGACGGACGTTCCTCAGCCTGGGAGCAGGATGGCGGCTGCCACTGCGTGGAGGAGAGGAGGCGTGGGGCTGCAGAAGCAGCCGCGGGGGCTGATCGGTCCTCCAAGGAGGAGCCATGGCCCACGGTGGGAAGGCCACGTGCCACGTGTCCCTGTGCCACGGCAGAAGCGGCTGGCTGTGTGGCTGCTGCTGACCCCCCCCTCCCTCCCTCCCTCCCAGAGGAAGAAGGGCCCCTGGAGAAAGTGGCCGGTGCCACGGGAGCTTACCGGGGGGCTTCAGACTCGCTCTCCGTGCATGACCGTCGCCTCCTCCAGCTCAGCTTTCTTCAGCTTCTCCTTCTCTGACCTGCCACTGAAGGCAACAGAGACAGTCACCGAGAGGGCACTTGATGCTGTGCGGCAGGGGACTAGGGCAGTTCCTTCGTGACACAGAAGAAGGCCCCTCCGGAGGCCGGTGGTGGATCGGCCTGTCCCCGCAGGGAGCTGAGCTCCTGGGCTCGCAGGCAGCCACGCCCCTGGGCTCGCTGGCTCAAAGCCTCTGCGTGGGCACCCGGGGCCCTCCACATCCTTTGCACTCCCTTGGTCCTCTCCAGCTTCCCTGTGCCGCCACCTCGCCACACTCTGGCCACTCACGTCCCATTCACCCGTCTCCCTCCCACCATCCAGTCCCTGATCTGCCTCCGAGGGATGGGGACTTTGGGAAAGGACTCCACGCGTCAGTGAATGCCCAGACTCCCGGGGGCCTGGCCCGGCCCTCCCCCCGCCCCAGGCCACGCAAATGGCCCCCGGCTGGCTTCCCAGACAGCCCCACCCTTACCGCTCCGTCTCCACCATCTCCATTTTCTTCTCCTGCCGCTTTCTCCGCTGCTGCCGGCAGACGACCACCGCCACCACGAGGGCGATCATGAGCACGCAGGCAGAGCCGATGGTGAGGGCCAAGATGTGGATCTCCGAGAGGGTCACTGTGCAGAGGCGCGAAGCGGGTGAGTGGGAGGCAGGCGGCAGCCAGGACCCCCCTCGCCCAGCCCTGGCCCCTCCCCGCTCCGGAGGCCACGCACCTTTCAGCACCACCGCCAGCTGGATCTCACCGATGTTCCCATCCACGTCGGGCGGGTTCTTCACCTGGCACTGGAAAGTGCCGTTGTCGGCCGGGTTCACGTTCCAGAGCATGAGGGAGGCGTCGCTCTTCTGGATGCTGCCGTCCCACGTCACTCGGCCAGCGAAGCGGCCCGTGGTTGCAGGGTAAGGCTGCCCGTGGTAGTAGAACACCTGCGGGGGCCACAGAGGAGCCCCGTTACTCCCCCTGCTGGGGAACCGGGCCTTGCTTTGCTCCTCTCTCAGCAGAGCCTCCACCTCCTCCAGGAGACGGCGCTTTCCCAAAGGAACAGGAGGCTCCAGGAACCAACGGCGTGACCACCTGTGTGTGTGTGTGGGGGGGGGCCCCTATCCTGGACTGAGCAGGTGCCCAAAAGGGTGGAGGCTGGAGCAGCATCAGTTCTGCTGAGGGCCAGAATGTCGGTAAAGGCTCAAAACCACCATTAGACAATCAGCCCCAGAGCTCTCATGGCTCCCTCCCAGTCTCAACAGGGCCCTCAGTCCAGCCCTCTCCGAACACACCGTGGATTGGAACAGAGTCTTGGCACGGCCGACTGCCCTGGGAAGGCAAGACCTGCTAAGACGAAGTGGTAAGAATAGATCTGGGCTCGCCTGCCGTCCGCTCGCTGGCTTTCCACAGCCTCTGCTGTATGGACTGAAAGAAGCATGAAGACCCTCCGTACAAACCCTGCTCTTCGTACTCCTGCCCGCCGATGTGAGGGGGGTGACAGGCAGCAGTGGCATTTCCAGGGGTGGCGCCGCACATCTGGAATGCCCCCTCCTCTCAGGCCCACCTGGTGCCCACCCTAATTTGCTTTAGATGCCACGCGAAAACACTTTTTCCTAACCCAGACTGTGAGCGAGGGGTTAAATCTTTTGTTGGGTATTACAAGTTGAAAATACTCAGTATATCTGAGGTTAAATGTTTGTTTATGTTACTCACAGGAAGTCACATGTTTCTCATGTAACCAATGTCCTTTAGATGTAGGAAGCCCGTGAATTTTCTCCCTGATCTAGGGATTTGAATGGGACTAAAGTGTCAAAGTGTATTACCATTTTATGGCTTCTCTTCCCATCTTTGTTTGGTGTTCTGAAGAAGAAGAAGAGTAGCCATAATCTCTCCTCTTCTAGTTTTGTCTTTGTAGAGTAAGGATGTAGCCGATTTAGCTCTGTTGTTATTTTCATCCCAGTTACCCTTCCCATGCTAGAATTTAGTAAAAACTTTAGATTTTAATCCCACATGGACTCTCAGCCTGAATTATTTTACTCTGGCTCTGCTGGACTATATTATCTCTGCTAAATACCATTTTTCAATATCTCACTATCACCCAACACTTTTGGACGGCCCATCTGACTCTAGCCTGACTCGGTAGGATTAGGAAGGCTCTTTGGCCTCCCGGAAGGGGTTTTGTGCTGCTGGGTTACCCTGGGCTGTTAATGCCCATGATGCTGTGTGTGTGTTTATGACTTTCTCCGGTTTTACTTTGAGCAGCTCTCTGGACAGGAGGCACAGAAAGGTTTGTCTGCATTGACTGATTTCGCCCACTATCCTGGGGCTCAGGGCGGCTCACAGCATGTGGTAAGCCAATTGCAATATCAGGTTATCCACAAATAAATAGGCAGTCGTTTTGATACCCGATAAGGTCTTTGGAATAGTGGGGGTGGGCGTTCTGTTGGGTGGTGGGGCCTTCCTGGCAGGGCCAGGCACGGCCGCCTGCAAGCTCCTTCTCGTGGCCCACAAGGCGGCAGTGGGGCGTGATCCTCACAGCACTTCCCCCGTTCTGAGTCAGGGGCTCCGGCCGTGGTGCGAGACAGACTGATGTGTGTGTGTGTGTGTGGACGGGGGGGGCGCTAGCCCAGCCTGCAGAGATCCAGGCCCGTAGCTGCAGTGGGGCACCTCAGGGCCTGGCCCCCTGACGTTCCGCCAAGCCCCCCCTTACATACCATGCAGCCCAGGTGCTCCCTCGGGGGGGTGCCACAGGGGTGTGTGTGGGGTGCCCCCTGACTTATTTAACCCCCCCCCCAGAATTAAAAAATCCTGACTACAGGCCTGCAGAGATCCCAACTGCCCCCGGGCGGGGCCCCCCAGTCTGTGGCCTCGGAATCAATCCCCGCCCTGCCTCCGGGGCTAGCCACCCCGGCGCCACAGAAGGGTCACGGGTGAACTCACAGTCTGGTCTGGGCCACCCGAGTGGGGGCGGAAGTTCCAGGTCACCGTCACCTGCTCCCCAGGAAGGACACGGCTGTGGAAGGTGCACTTCAAGCGCACGTCGGTCCCGTTCAGAACGTCCAGGGTCCTCGGGCTGTAGATGTCGATCGCGGCCACGGGCCAGAGCACTGCAGGGAGCGGTCAGAGTGGAGACCCGTCACCAGGGGCGTTCCCAGGGTCAGGGCCAGACTCAGGTCTGGGAGTCCTCCCGGGGCCATGAGACTCCCCGAGCGACTCTAGGCCGGTCGCTCTCTCCCTCCGCCTAGCCGACCTCACAGGGCTGTTGTCGGGGGGGGGGGAGAGCCACGCAGGCCACCCTGGATCCCTGCAGCAGCAGCAGCAGCAGCAGCAGCAAGGGAGTGAGAACAAGGCACCAGGAAGGGAGAGGAGAAAGAAAACCTCTCTAGGACAGTGCCTGGCCTGGCTCAGAATCCGCCAGGCGGGAGGGCAGGAGGGGGGGGCCTTCCAGAGATAAGAACACAAGTGAGAAGCCCGTATTGGATCAGGCCAGTGGCCCCTCCAGTCCAACACTCTGTGTCACACAGTGGCCAGAAACACCAGGTGCCCTCAGGAGGTCCAGCAGTGGGGCCGGGACACTAGGAGCCCCCCCCACTGTTCCCCCCCCCCAAGCACCAAGAAGACAGAGCATCACCTGCCCCAGACCGAGAGTTCCTGTCTATATACCCTGTGGCTCCTAGCCACTGATGGACCTCCCCTCCAGATGCTTATCCAATCCCCTCTTGAAGCCACCCGTGCTTGTAGCCGCCACCCCCTCCTGTGGCAGGGAATCCCTGGTGTTCCTCACTCTTTGTGATAACAGCCTTCTCCCCCCCTCCCCAAGGCTCCGGTGCACTCACCAGCCCCCC